AATTGAACTGAGAATTGTTGAAGACAAGCACGAGAGAAGTTCGTTACAGAGTTTGTTATAGAGCGAACGTTGATATTAAGTGCATCGTAAAGTTGTATTCGGAAAGAATAAACCAGTTTTATTTAAGAAAGGGCTTGTGTCGCTAAAGTTTCGTCGGAACGAATTTACGGAAAATTAACTAACGAACGGAGACGTAACAATATTTTTAGTATGTATTCATTTATTTCGCAATTATTTGTTATGATATTGAAGTTAAAATACAGCAGGTCAAAATTATGTTAATAACAGTTGTTGCCAACGTTAATAAAAAAAAATTAATAATGTTGTGCTACTAAATGTTGGCGGACATTTTTATTTGCAATTTTGAGGGTCAAAGAGTTAAGATTTACCCTTGTAACAAGCAAAATTTGACTTATGTTTAAAGCAGTTGTTACCGACTTTTAACGGTCTACAGTCGATTAGGCCTAACATTGTATGAATGATACTCAAGAGTGGTTATTTTTTATTTTTAGAGCAGAGTTGTACAGTAAACCAGCGTTTCCCAAACGGAAACGCTTTAGTAGACTATCTGCTCTCTATCCATCGCAAGTAACTGAACAAGTCCGTAAACTTACCACTGGGGGCGAGTAAATATTAGCAGAATGTTGTATCTTGACAATAGTGTGTAACTTTCCAGACAATCTATTTTATGGAGTTTATGCAAATAGTTATCAGAAATGGTAGAAATCATTATGGGCGGAATCTCTCGAAGAAAACTCGTAATTAAGAAAATGTATTTTTCAAAAAGCTTAAATTGAATACTGGACCAACGGTTCTTAGATTTTGGAGTACCTTTGGGGAACACGACTGTATTTGAGTGGGGGCAGAAACGTCAGGTAAACGTTTCATCTTTTATTTTGTTAAAGCTAAATAGTTTTGCCATCACTGGCTATATGATTTTGGGGGGGGGGGTGCAAAATGTATTACAGAGAAGAAAAGGAGTGGCGCGACCTAAAAAGTTTGAGAAACGCTATACTAGACTGGTGAAATCATAAAGTATTTGGTAATAGATTTATTCTATCCACAACACTTTGTAGAAAATATAATTTATAGTGCCATAACAAGGTGAAATCAAATTCCTAAGTAATGTATGGGTTAGATAAAATGCTGATTTTATTACGTAATACACGAGTTTATACACTATATTTTTAGTCTAGTCCATTTCGAATATTCAAGAATTAGAGGAGTTTATAATAATAGTATTCCAACCACACAATATGTCATATCTAATATCATTACTACTGTCTTATGACAAGTTAAAATTACTACATTATCTAATTGTAAAAGTAAATTATCCCAGCATGCATTGCAAAGTTTAAAAAAAAAAGGATGCTGGAATGATAAGACTAGTGCTGATAGAGATAGGGTAAAATTATGGCTAACTTAAATTGATATCGTAGGCCTGGTTGAAAGGGCGAACATGTTCAGTGACGGAATTCGAACCCGCAGATTGCAAGCCCAGGTCTTATGTACACTACACTACGGTACAGAGGACATTATTCACACGTTAGGCCTACAGCTAACGCATTAGACTAAACATCGAATTTTGAAACAAGGTTTTATTATTTTTTCACTTTTTTAAATTACGTAATGCTGACTGATGTAAAGTGCACAAAACCACGAATAAATGAAAAAATTTGAACACCTAGAATCTTTGAAAGTTTTCTTTATTAAGTTATTTGCTCGACGTTTCGGCTTTACGCCTTCATCGGTATCAATCTATCAATATCATCACATCACTCAAGTTAAGACGGCCTTAATTTGAGTAATAGTTATCATAAAATTTTCATCTTCCTGATGTAAGCGTAAAGCCAAAACGTAAAGTAAATAAAAAACTTCGAAGGATTCTGTGGAGTTCACGATCTTTCAGTTATCCAAGGTTTTAACTAGTTTTAAAAATAAATCGATCGTACTTCTACTACTATTACGTACTAGTCCTCACCTATTTTGTCTTTCAGCAAAGGTGTTAAGTCATAAATCTTTCCAAGAAAGGATACCCATAAATCACCATCTTTGTTGTGCATGGCAACTTCTTTTGTTGTTAAGTAAATTGATCTTGACATTATGTTCAATATCAAAAACTGAACATCTAAACGTGACCAGTTTTTAAATACAGTCGTAGGACGATATAATGTGACAATCAATCCCACTATTCATTAATAAAGAGCAGCCCAAGAGTTGGCGGTGTTGACTAACTGACTTCCCTCAGCTCTAGTCTTCTGACTTAATATGACCTAAGCCTTTATACATCCCATTGTGTAGGTTTTGTAGTGATTTCTAAGCTGCATCATATTCTAGAGGGTGTAGTGGGCCAGGGCTGATGTTGGAACTGCTAACAAATACACCGGGTGTTCTTGAGGTAGTGATGGCGATATCAAAATAGAAGTTTCAGCATTTGTGATGATACAGCAGTTGTCTGACATTGGGTTGCTTCCTGGGGCTTCTCTGCTGATGTTGAGAGTTTTAAATTTAGGAAGGTCTTGCTTTGAGTACACGTGAGTTTTGTTTAGATGTTATGAATAGTTTTCTTTTTGTGGGATGTTTAGACTTTTCCTCCTGTTTCTCCCTGGCCAATTTTATATGGATCATACTGGTGGTCATAGCTATATCTCTGGGTCATTGTTATCCAGTATCAAGCTGCCAGTAGTCTCCTAAAGATTCTGAATGCCAGATGTTCTAATGTGCAGAATATTCTTCTCTATTTCTCCATTAGCTCCTCTTCAACCATGATCAGACCTAGTGCTGCTTCTGGAATATATGGAACCTTGAGCTTGGAGCTGAGTAATTTAGTTGATTACCTTTTAGCATTGATTACAGTAATTAGTGTCAGCTAAACTAATTGATTAACCAAAATTATGATTAAATCGATTATCACGAAAATAATAGACTAATTGAAGTTAAGTTTCCAATTATCACCATATTTTATTATTCCAACTATATGAGTAATCAAAATATTGCTATTATGTTTGTTGTTGAGTGCAAAGCTAAATAATGGGCTATTTGTACTCTTCCCAATTGTAACTTTATAAGTTGTTTTTCAACTTTGTTCCACTATAGTAATGTGGGGGAGGCTGTCTTTGTTGTGGAAAAGTTACTAAGGCAATCTGCCACTTTCACTAATATTGAACTGTCTGGCAGCACCTGGCATCATCTTCTTTTGCATTGCTGACTAGAGAGAAGGCAACTGGTGGTACTCGCCACCAGATTATTTTTCTTTTGCTTGTAGTATCGTGGTTTGACAAACTCTTAATCAAATTGCTAAGTGTAATCAATTAATGGGACTGTTATCTAATCGATTAACAAATGCCACTAATCACCCAATTCTACTTGAAGTCAGCCAAAAATATTCAGTCTTTCAATTGAACATCTAGTCAATTAGATGAAAAATTAGATAGCCAGAATAGTCAAGCATTTGGTCTTGCATAGCATGCATCAAGATGAAAAACATTTAGTCAACTCAGCTTATATGTAACAAAATGAATATTAGTATTAGGAACTCCTTTAAAAAGTATAAAAATGACTTGAGCTCCAGAAAACGTTATTTTATCAATGTTCCAACTTGTATGTTCTTCAGAGTAGTACATTTTACAGCAACACAACTAGTGTGAACAAGTATTAGCTATACAGTTTCTTCTGAATAAAGCTTAGATTTGTCAGTTAGAAGTTTTGTAACTAAAACTTGACAGTACTAGTTGTGTTGCTGTAAAACCATCTACCAGAAGAAGGCATGAGCCACAATGACCATAAAATAAAACCTGTTTTGGAGCTCAAGTGTTTTTATTTGTAGAAACAACTTAATTTTTGATATGTCAGAATTTCAGTTAGTAGTGCAAGGTTGAAAGATGTAATTAAACAGTTAAACCAAATTCTACGCTGCAAGACTATTTTAGACACTAGGTGTTAAAAACAGCATTTGTGGTCAAATGCCATTTTCTGAAGGCATGCAAGCGTACAGATGTACCGGAGAAAATGTCTCCCAAGCACCTGTGAATTGAGACATACTCTTAATCAATATTTTGCCAAGCTCCATATTGGGCCATTGCCTAGTGACAACCTCAAAATTCAGCATGACTACCACTCACATGTAAGTGAGTCTTCCACTATTGTCTGGTTGTTAAACACAACCTGGATCCAATGGGAAAGGAAAGGACATGTAACTGCTTGTGTATTGTCGTCCATAAATAAGTGAAACCAGACTGGCCACTAAATTTCCCATGCCACCATAGAATGTAGATTTTAAGGGTACTAAGGAGAGGCGTAAAGTAACACCAGCATGGTAAAAGCTTTCAAAGCTGCACCATAACCTAGTACTGAACTTGCAACATGCCTTGTTCTGGTAACAAACCATGAAACAACATTTATGGAATTTTAACACTTATTTTTTAGTTCTCTACCCAGTCCCACATTTCTTGTATAAGATTGTAGCGAAAATTGTAAGAACTTTTAATGCCTCGATTCTGTAATGAAAAAGTGAACATTAAACTATGTGTGTATCAGATTTGGACTTTTATCACATTTGAAAGATGCTGCCCTTAACCGGTAGGTCAGTAGTAAGTTTCGGGACTTAAAATGCCAAAATCAAGAGTTTGATTTACCGTGGTGAACAGAGTGCAGTTTTGCGATAAAAACCAACAGCAGTTAATAAACCATTTTCGCCGAAAGCCTTATCTCATTATACCGGCTGGGTAACAACATGAAATCTTAACAAGTACATGAGAAATGAAATATTAATACGGATATACATAGACGGAATTACATTCATTTTACCGCAAACACTTTACGACACTGATTTGGTTATTGTGTAAGTTACAGTTTTGTATGTTCATTTTACTGATTTTAACTGTAATTACTGACACTCTAGTTCGATGAATTTTACGTGATGTTCTTTGTATTAAGTCTACGAGTTCAAACCGCTAAAAATCGGGTTTCGTTGCTTGTGGTATAGGTTTGTTATGAATTTCGCGCAAGGCTACACTAGGGCTATCTGCGCTAGCCGCCCCTAATTTAGCAGTGTAAGAGTAGAGGCAAGATAGCTAGTCATCACCACCCACTGCCAACTCTTGGGCTACTCTATTACCAACGAATAGTGGGATTGACCGTTACATTATAACGCCCCCACGTCTGAAAGGGCGAGCAAGTTTGGTGTGACGGGGACTGGAACCCGTGACCCGCAGATTGCGAGTCGAGAGCTCTAACAACCTGGCCATGCTTGGCCGTGTTGCTCGTAGTGGGCAAAGCACGTATGGCCCTTTGTGAAGCTTTGTGCTTAAAAAAAGCAAACATACATACAAATTGTTCTAAGTGATAAGTGACAATTGTTTGTTAATACAATAGCAGTTTATAGATACATAAGATTCTTCTTTATAACTTATATATCTTCCACACCATTCAATCTTTCTAAATGAAACTCGTGTAGAATATTTTGTTTTGCAATATAAGTTGTTTATCTCTGCTTTTGCCTTTGTCTTCGTGTGTTAATTTTTTCAGTCTGTTGAAACGTCAGCAGACAGATAATGTTCCAGCTTGTGAAATTCAACCTATAAAACCTTAGGCAAATCATGTATATAAACTTGTTATTATATACAAGTTATTAAAACCAGGAAAACCTTTCTGACGCTATCTGTTGACATTTGGAAGTAGTAACTTTTCACACTTTTGAAACCAAAATCATCGCTACGTCTAATTGACAACATTGATATATAATAAAAATTAATCAATTAAACATTTATTACTTTTCGTTTCAATTTCACGTTTTCGCAATACTTACAGGAAGTCCCTTGTTGCGTCCTCTATTGGCTTTCGGAGGTAAAGATATATCCAGTTGGTTTGACGATGAAATTGGTGAGGTAAAATTTTATATGTACCTTTTCGGTATATTGCATTTTCAGATAATAAATAATCTAAAGAACGAAGAACCAATGTGCACTTAGAAGTATTTTTGAAGAACTTTACTATGAATAAATTACAAAACAAATTTTATTAAATCACATAGATAACAGAACAATTAACATTTTTATATAGAAGATTAAATGGAAAACGAAAATATTACAAAGAGAAAATTGAGAGGCGTAACGTTATGTCAGTTGTTTCCTTCTTTTATTTATATGTTCAGTATTTCAAAATAATAGTGAAGCAACAAATATAAAAATAAGTTAATTTTGAATATTTTTTTATCTTTAGAAGAAATTATTATTTGTAAATTTCATCCCTTTTAACTTATATGTTATTTATTAATAACTGTCACATGCGTCTATGGCAGCTGTTAGGTATATTTATTTTGGCGTACAACCGAGTTGTGTTAATAAAAGGTGGCGTTTGCGCTTAATTTGAGAAACATTTAACAGAGATGAAGAATTTATAATGATTTTTCATAGAATCAAATTCTTGATTAGAGGTTTGATAAAATAACTTTTATTTTTCATTTATGTTTGTTTTTAACGCAAAGCTATACAATGACCCAATGTTCTATATCCGCTGCGGAGACATAATTCCGAATTTTAGCGTTATAAACCCAGAAATTTACCACCGAGCCATCGTGGTACTTTTTACCCCTTATTAAATATTGTTATATATTATGATTGATTTCCCTAATGCTGTAAAGTATAATGACTTTTTTATATATTTTAGCTTAAACAACACGTAGACCCTATTACAAACTGTGTGATACCCTTCACACCACACGGAAGATTCATCCATGTCCCTCCGAAACAGCCACGAACGGATTGGTGTAACGACTTTAACATTCCCTGGTGGAAAGATGACAGGTACATGGTAGGAAGACTGACTGCTAGATCTAGGAAAATTTGTATAGTTAATACCCTTACATCCGGAAAAGTAGTTATGGAGGTGTGTGTTGATACTTTATTTTTCAGAACTTGCGATAGAAAGTACTTGCTTTTAGAATTATAACAGATATACTTCTCTTTTTAATCAACTAAAACTTTCACAAAAGAACACTAACTTCGAAATTCGAGCCAAAGATTTTATGATAAAACCTAACAAGAGTAACTAGGAGTAAACGCTGACACAGACAAGCCTATCCGTGACGTAAAAATAAAAATCGTAATTGAGTTTATTCTTTTTTTACTGTCTGTTCCGTTTGTATATCTTAAAACCAATCCAATGATACACAGTAATTGAACATTAGGAAAAAATTATTAAAGCATTTACTTTTTCAGGGTTTAAGTTCAAAATTATTATTTAAAATAATAATTTTGCCCCTTCACACAAGCCTAATCATTTGCTTTTCGAAAACTTTAACTATAGTTTATATTTTTTTGTCCATAGATTTATGTAAATAATAGCAGAGCATCTATTGGTTTTACTCCTACAGTCAGAACATTATATAATCAAGTACTGTACAGTACTATACATCAGTGCTTCTCAACTATTGGTCTATCGACCGGCGCAACCACAGAAACAAACGGACAAAAAAAACTTACAGAATATTCATTCACATGTAAATCGTATTAGTTTTTCATTATACCTCGACAGTTTAAGAAGGCAACGAATCGGTCCTGGTATCAAAATGTTGAGAAATGCTAGTAAAAATTATTTCGAGATATTGAGTTCGGTTGAAATGCTTCACATTTGACATACATCAATGTACTAAAGATTTTACATTAGTTGTAAAATCCAAGTTAATTTATACAGGTTCTATGTCTGGATGAAAAACCCTAGTTTTGTTTGAAATCAAATCATATTCAACAGGTGTGCTGTGAAGAAACTTTGAACGAAATTTTATACCGTTATCTGACCTTCAATTGTCATGCAGCCAGCTACACGTGGAAGTACCAGGGAAGGCCACTGGACATGACTAAAACTTTGGAAGAAAACGGAATACCTGATCGTAGCTGTGAGATAGAAAGCTTGCGACTTGACGAAGACGATTTTCATCCTTTTATTCATATTTATTTTAACGATGACTTAACAGAAATGTGACCCTGTTTTGTAATTTATTTAATTTGGTTTGATACTTGAACAATTTCTTCTTCGGTAATAAACATATTACAAAGTTCTGTGATGTAAACTAATTTATAATATAAACATAAAAAGTACGTGTAATATGAAGAGTTTTGTTGATATGGTTACAATAAGCAGGAAAACAAACGTGTGGGAATACTATAAAATCATAGCAGGAGTTATAATATTTCATAATTCTTAACTTTATCTACACATTTAATAATAAAAAATAGAAAATTTTGAAACGAATATTCATTTATCGTAACCATCAAGAAAGTAGGAATAAAAATATGTTTAATAGCCACTAATTATCATAGATTTCTCTCAGAATATTCATTAATTTAATATTTTGTTAATTTAAAGTCCCTCTCTGGTATTTTTTCATGAGCATGTTAATTTACATAAAATTATATTTATTCAATACTAAAGTTGTTTTAAAGTTTAATTTTCTATATTACATTAGGAAGTAATAACGAGAACATTAATAATAACGTGATATAATTAATTGTACAATTTTATAGTTTTAAAAAGTGAGACGAAAATATATCAAAATTATTTTTGTACTAAAATTTCCAATAGTGCAATAAATGTCAATATTTTGTTACCTTGTTTTTAAGAATTAATATCTCGTATATATTTATTATGGCCCCCAGTGGCACAGTCTGCGGACTTACTTCGCTAGAAACCAGGTTTCGATACCCATTGTGTAGCTTTATGATTAACTACAAACAAACATATTTATTATGACGAAAGTACTTGTATTCTGAATAATAATACAATCAATACCTATATGTGAACTGGAACTGAATGAAACTTGGTGTTAACTGAGCTGTAATTTTGAAAAATATCTATACGCAAAAAAACACACGCACACGCATATATATATGATTAGAATGCCCAGTCATTGAATATCAGCAAAAGCTAGAAATTTTGTCATGACAAAATATCATCTCACCTTGCAATCTACATTCTTCAATTATGTTTTTTTATCCATACTACTAAACAAGTGGGTAAATTGTCCTTATTCAATGTTTTTCACTTCACACATAAAAATAAGTTTTATAATAGAGTTGTCATGGTGACACTTCATTCCAATCCTGCTAGTGCTATCACAAAAAGGGACATAATTGTGTAGGTTTCCATGGAAACCTGGTGATTTATCTAATACTAGAAAATAACTGAAATTAATAAAGATTACTAGATTGTATAGACCTGTAATAAAAGATTGGTTGATTCGAACAAACAACAGAACTTTAGTAAGAAGTAACTAAATCGACAAGATAATAAAAGTTAAAAATAAATAATTTGGCTCGAATCTTTTTTGCATGTGAATACTTTCAGAATCACCTTCCTACACCTAAAAAGATATTGGAACCAACGAAAACTCCTTCTTCTTCTTCATATGACTACTTTCAGGAATGGGGCTGTTACGTCTCCGTTTGTTAATTAACTTTCTGTAACTTCGTTCCGACGAAACTTAAGCGACACAAGTC